TAAACCGATTTAACGTGGAGATAGGTTTCCGTCACTAAATAGCGTTAGTGACATCACAATAGATAGAAAAAGTGTGGTACATTTGGATTTCATGCATATTGCGGTACTTACGTTAACTATTAAGATCAACGTCTGCAGTATTACTAGCCTAAAAATAGTGCTACATAAAAATGTAGCATAATCTATATTCTACTCAAGTAACTCGCCGAGATGATTTACGTTCAGTATATATATATACTGGGTCAGTTCACGGCGGGTCAAGATCAAAACATGTATGACGTAAAATCTACATCAATAAAAGTGACTTCGAGATCATCAGATATGAAATTGCATTTGGCGTATTAAATCGAATCTTTATACTGCCTGGGAACTAACAAGTATTATAATATTTTGTAATATTATAATACTTGTTAGTTCCCCGGTATGCAACATATTCAGGGTTCAGAGAGATCTTGTTGTAAAGGCCCCACAGTCTAAGCACGTCTCTTCTCATCTCAGAAGGAAGTAAATAGTCTGCCGCTCTCTGCTGCTTTTTAAACAAGTAAATATGACAAATGAGCACACATTCCACTGGATAAGTAGTAGATGCTGCGGCCCATAGATATTTACATCTACTCTCGATTAAGAATCCTTCTGCAGATGTATCGTCATCCCTTAAAATCAAGATTAAATGACTTATAACAAAGTAATAAATAAACTAAATACATATTTAATTAAATATGTAAGATTTAAATTTAATTTAATTATGATTTATAGAGATTAAGCTAAGATCTGCATAATAAAACAAAATTATGTGTTTTACCTAGTTTGAAGAGCACCTGCCGCTCTCTTTCAAATGCGTACATTATCCCTGTTACCACTAATACCAACACCACTACTACCAGTATACTACAGTATATTAAAGTCCACTGCTGAATATAAGCCTTCCCCAAAGATTGCCTCGTAAGGGGGGATATTTGCCATAGTTGCCACGCTTGCCAAGCGCGTTGGCAACCGCAGTTTTTATTTTTAGTCGTCGTTACCCATCTTCTGATTTGTTTACATCTGACGCTTCTTACGACACCCGCGGGATGATATGGGGCAGTGGATATTCTTCAACACCACTACAATATTTATTTACTATTACAATAATTAATTTTCCGTTACAATAATTAACTTGATTAGTTTTCAACATATTCAATTTAACGGAATTGAAAATGGGCCAATTTAGGAGTACCCTTAACCGACGAGCATGTATGCATAGGTAAATGAATGTGGAGGAGGCGAGTGAGGTATGTCAGGATCGTGCGAAATGGATGTCTGTAGTAGTCTCTGCCTACCCCTCTGGGTTACAGGCGTGAGTGTTTATGTTTTGTTTTTATTTTAATGAATTTCCGCAAGGTAACATTTGATTTTATTACCCATTAAATGTTTTAAGATTAAACACTTGTTTTAATAAATTAAATTTGTTATGTGTTGTTATTTGTGTATTGACAAATTAACGTTAAACGTATTATTATTTAGCTCTTTCTAGTAATATTGTTTTTTTAACACAGAAGCTGGAGTTCACTTTGTGGTGTCGCGTCGAGGTCATAGAATGCTGAACGTTGACGGCTACTCTTTCGGTTTGAAGTCATCCAGCGGCTTGAAGTCCGTCTGGAGATGCACCAGCCATAGCTCCAAAGGTTGTCTCGCAGCCATCCATACATTCGACGACGAAGTTATTCACCGAAGGAATACGCATTGCCACTAACACGCATCGATTGCGATTTGTGTGGAGATTTTTATCTTAATTTTTTTTTAATTTTTTGTAATAATTTTTTTTGCTAAAAGAATGAATGAATAAATTTTTACCAAGATATTGACAGGATTGATTAATAAGTAAATAGCTATTAAACAATTAGTTTAGTCCAGATTACTGTTTATTATTTATTTTTAAATAATTCCAGTTCATAAATACTCACATAATATCCAGCATGTTTAGTTTAGGTATATAACATAACAAAACAATAATTACCTAGTAATATTATATTAACTTTAACATACGTAATACAATGAGCCGTGAAAACTTTCTTATTTTTGCCTGACAGGCGTATTTGGAGGCTTTCTTCATTTTTTTAATATACTATATTTTTAACGAGCTTCATGTTACCATAGAGATTATGATATATTTTTAGGATTTAATTTTATTTGATTTAATCAATTGTAATATTGTAATAATAATAATAATAATGTCCTCCAGATCGAATTTCGGCCACGGCGGCCTGCCTCAACGGAGGCTAGCCATCGGCGCAGGACAGGATTATAGTGCCAAGTGTATGTGCAAGCACAGGTGCACTTTTTATTCCCTCACTCTCGTAATCCGATGGTACGGTAAACCGACACGACCGGGAGAGAGATAGAGAGAGATAATTGATTTTTTGGCCCGACCCGGGATTTGAACCCAGGACCTCATAACCAGCAGTCGCACTACTACAACCACTAGACCAACGAGGTAGTCCTGTATATCCTGTCCTGTAATATTGTATTAGTATGCTGTCATATAAATAACCGTTTCGTAATGTCGTTTTAATTTTAATGTGCACTTTTAAATTGTAAAATAAACTCTGTTTTTTGTAACAATGATTGTTTTTTTTTTCAAAAATAACCATTCACATTGGAATTGGTGTTATTTACTAACCTAAAGCAATAATTCCTATTTATATATAATTGTTACTTTAAAATTAGTGACCTAAGAGCTAAAAGCAATTTCTCATTGGAAACCTTTAGAAGAGCAGAAACATAAAAATCACAAGTACGGTGTAGGTGAAAATAAAACAATAAACATAATAATAAATTTATTTTTATCTTTAAACATAAATTAAATTTGAATATATCTGCTAACATTTCCTTCTATATTTTTATTAATTAAAAATAACCCGCATTTTATCTTTATATTATTTATTTCATAATTTAAATATTTTTATATTATACTTGTGTGTATTGATTTCATCAAAGAATATAGAGGATAGATGTAGAAATCTATGGAACACAACATACACTTATCATCAAGTGTTCTATGTCCTCGTTTGTAAGTTTGTAACTATTCCTATTATACCTACTACACAAACACTTCTTAAAATAACGTAACATATACAAATTCTTTGAAAAAAATTTCTAGAGCCCATTTGGTGTCTGTCGGCGACGGGCAGCAGGAGGCTTCGTGTAGGAATGTACGCGTTCAGGATGCAGCCCCCGAGGCGCAAGAACCAGATCAAGAGGAGGTGGCTATGCGCGAGTCACAGCTGGCTAGGATGCAAAGCACTTGTCCAAACCGTTGAAGATAAAATTGTAGCTGTGCGGAATGAGCACAATCATTGAATTATCTTTTTATTACGAGCAAGTTCTTGACTGAACTGCAACTATAAATGCGAACGACATACCTAGGTTCCTTTAGTAGGTAGGTTAGTCAAAAATGAAAAAAGAGCTTGTGAGCGAGTGTGAGTGGTAGCTCGCTATATGAGCATTGGTCTTCCGCACTGCTTCAGTGTGTTCATATGTCCTCACTAATTTGGGGGACTAAATGTGGGGGGACATTTGTCTGAGACATAAATCCCACAATATCCAATTCATATTGCTATGAGAAATTCATTGGTCGTGGGATTGAACCCTGGTTACTCGCGTACTGCGTTTACATCGAGCGCGCAGCACCTGAGCTACCATTAGTATCCGACTGAAGGTCGAATCCTTGCCGAAGACGAAGGTTTAAAAACCCTAAGAAATCCACAACGTCAACAACGTGTGACCTCCCAAGCCCATCGCGACATTTCGTTCAGTTTCAGCGCATGCTAGAAAGCTTCTGCTTCGGCCTTTAAAGCCGAAAGTTTCGCGAAAGATGGTTTTTTGGCCGAATCCGAAACCGATGCTGCGGTCGGACACTGTAGTCACTATACCACATCTTCATAAATAAAAAATAAGTGGGGCATTTATATTAAATTATTATAATATTGTTGTTATTATAGTTGTGTGTTAACAGATGGAACGCGACACGCTACTGTGTTTTTTTTGTAGATTTACGGCATTACTTATTATTGTTGACTATTGCTTAATTACTTTAAGTGTTAATTATATCTATACACGTCTCTTTCTATTGTTATTTAGTGAAAAGAGGGCAACTTAAAGCATTTCTTAAAATGACTTAGATTTTTATGAGTAAGGCATAGCATTTTATAAGGCAGTCTATATTGACAGATCTAAATGTTTATGTTATGAATTATTACAGTAATTATGTCATATAAATTAAAATTGTCTGGGACTCTGTCTAGATTGTTACCACCATCTTACCTCTGTACCTATCAAAAGTGCAGTGATGTTGCTTTTCGGTTTGGAGGGTAAGAGAGTCAGTGTAATTTGAAGCCGTGAGGCATTTCATCTTTATCCTCACCGATAATAGTTGATCTGTATGCCTCATTTGTTTTTGAATTAGTCGCAGAAGTCCATGTGCTTTACTAGCCGCTAACGGTATAATGGTCGGTTAATCTAATATTATAGAAAAACTTTAAAGTATTTCCTGATGAATATTTTTTTTTCAAATGTTTTTAATACTACTACTTTAAAATGGTTATTAAAATTAGTGTTATTTGTTATGTATATATCTATATCAAAACTGGCGCAATTAAGATAAAGGTACTTTTTAAAATATGTATTGAACACATACATTTGTTAATTTGTTTATTTACTTTATAAATCCTTTGTTATTCTTATATAAAACATGACAGTAAAAGAAAGTGATAAATATGTTGACAAAGATAATAAATATATATATTGGTGATAAGCTGTCTTTTTTACAGCGTAAATTGTAATGGCACCTGATAGTGACTATGTATTTTTTTGCAATTTACATTTTGGAATTATAATTAATGATGTTAATATCTTATTGTATAAAGAAGACATGATGTTGAGATAATTTACGGTTTTTTTTTTGTTGGTATTGGTTACTTACGGTTACGCTTTCGTTTTTAAAGTTCTTATTTTCTTTTCAGGTATCAGCGTAACGCGTTGATGACGGTAAGATTTCTGATTCTACCACCAACGTAAGTCCCTTTTTTATTGTAATCTACAGCAGAAAGGTATTAAAATCATTTAATCTTTTTGAAAGTTCTCGGACTTATTACATTTTTGACAGGTGTTTGAGGGCAGGAAAAGCCTGGTTTCATTATCATCCAGCATGTGGAAAATCATCACATAAAATTTTACAATAGTGCATAGTTAAGTAGAACTCTGCATAGTTCAAATACGGGAGTTTGTGTACGGCTATGTAAGGTTTAGAGCGAGCGCTAAGCCCACCATGAACTACGCTAACGCGCATTGGGGCTGCGCAGAGGTCCCTTCCTTGCCCTACAACCTTCTCAGATATGAGAAACGGCCTCTGCCCAGTGGCCAGAGCCGTGGTAGCTCAGATGGTTAACGCTCGCTGTAAATATAACAGAACGCGAGTAACCCGGGTTCGATTCCCGCCGACAACAGTGAAATTGTTAATTGCAATTTTACGTGCGGTGAAGTACCATCGTGCAGGCCTGATGTCTAGGAATAAGAAAAAAAAATATTTCGAAGACATGTGAAATTCGCCAACACGCATTGGGGCAGCGTGGCGGACACCTCCTTGCCCTAAAATCCCCTTTCAGAAATGAGCGGAGGCCTGTGCCCAGCAGTGGGACGTATATAAGCTGTAACTTTACTTTACTTTACTTTACTGTGCACAGTAGTAGGACGTATATTGGCTGTAACTTACTTTACTTTCAACATTTTATCAGGGCAGTTGTTTGAAACCATCAGCTATTTAAGAGCAGTATCACGGACCAGTGCTGTCTGATGCCGTTGCTGTTATAGTTAGTTCACAGCGAAGCCTTCCACCTTCAATAAATTGCAGGAGTTGATTAGCAAGAATGAATGAATAAAAATGACAGCTTCTACTTTTTGGATTTGACAACTAGTTCATTTTTATAGAAAAAGGGTGACAAACAAGTACATAGTCCACCTGATGGTAAATTGATGCTGCCCATAGACATACATCTACATCTGTCCTGAACTGATTCAGAATCCAAATGCAGGTACGTTATCACCCCTGAGGATTTAAATCGAAAGTTTATCTACCAAATTGACTATATATTGAAAATGGGCCAAATTAATAGTACTCTTAACCGACGAGCATGTATGCGTAGGTATATGGATGTGGAGGAGGCGAGACAGGTGTGCCAGGATCGTGCCAAATGGAAGCCTGTAGTCTCTGCCTTCCTGTGACCGGCGTGAGTGCTTATAGGATTTAAATGGAATGCTTCGTTACCAGTAAAAAGTTTTCTTTACTCATAATACGAAACACATAAAAGATATTATTCCTGTAACGTTTGGATCGCTCGTTTTTTTTTCTAAACACTGACGAATACTAGATCTTTTTTATAACTGATATTTCTTTCGTCATCATAATCGTCTTAATTACAGCTCTTTACAATACAACTGCTAAATATAGTCCAAGGTCAAGCAATGTGCAATCTTATATCATCAACGTCACGGCCCTGAACCACCTATATCTTACCTGATAGACATTCCATATATTGGGGTCCGTCTCTTATCGGTTACAAGGTCTCTTCAACTTCTGGATCTTTAGGCTGTGTCGATTAATCGGATCTACTGCGAATACCTTAACTGCGGATTCCACCACTTGAAGAAACTCGGAGCATAGTCCTCTCTACAGTGTAGTGTAGTGGAGCCCCCACGACATTTTATATTTACATTAATTATAGCCGTGAAAACGTGTAGTATCTATAATTAAAGACATAGCAAGAGTAACACGTCTCCTATTCATTTAACACCTCCACAGCTCGCTGAGTAATTAAGCTTCCTCAGTAGTGAAGGACCAAATCTTAATTATAAATATCATCACTGGCAACACGCACTGATTGCACGCACTTAATTTATGATTTTGAAGAATGCGTTATAAAATTTGTCATAATTTTCGAACGTTGCCCAGCCAGCCGAGTTTGATGGATTGACCTCTTGATTAAAGTTGGAGTAACCTAGTCTGACAATTTATCTTAGGTAAACACACTTGTTAACAACTTCAAGCGTAGTGTTCGCAACAAATACAGAAATGAAGTATAAGTTCCTTACGCTTCCTATAAAAATATAAATACAGTGTAAACTCTATATAACGACAATCAAGGGACTGTGCGTTTTTTGATGTTATAGAGAGTTGTCGTTAAATGGAACGAAGAAAAATCTGTATTAGAAAAAGAAAAAGTATATAAACTAAATCCAAAGCGTCTAATTTTAAGTTATTAACAGGAATCTTTTAGATTCCTATTTCCCTCTGGCATCTTACGACACTCACAGGATTTTTTTCAATTCAACAAATTTTACTTTGTAAATTTGTACTTTTCAGATAAACCTATCTTCGTAACGTCCATTCGAGGTAAACCGCTTATTCTACTTGACGGATATAAATATTCATTGAAAATGAAAAATATACAACAAGTTGGTAACACCACGAAAAAGAGATGGTGCTGCTCGACGCACAACTCTTTGGGCTGCCACGCTGCGGTCTATACTTTAGGTAACAAGATAATCAATAAAAACACGAATCATAATCACCAGCCAACGCGCAAGCACAAGTGATATTAAACTACACCAAATGAAGTTGTAAATGATTTTATTTAAAGGATATACGGATTTGTAAGTCTATTCAGTAAAAATATCCCAAATCTTCCTAAATTGTTTTATTACTGATAAAAACTTATGTTACCTTTAGATCCATCTCACTCTAACATTTACAATTTCAAGTAAACTGTTCCATTCATTACAGCCTATAAAAATTCACTTTTGAAGGCCTCGCCTGCCATAGATTGCTTTATAGGACGGATTTTGCCACGCTTGGCAAGCGGGTTCTGCAACCGCAGTTTTTTATTATTTACAGATGTTATCAGGAAGCTGTCCCATGTTTCAGTTTCTCTCTGTGTAAGAACATCCTCCACTCTATATCGTCCCTTGGGCTTAGCGTTTTCTTACACCTCGGTAGTAGGATCTACACGGTAATTTTATATAAAGCAGATAGATTAAAAGGGATACATGTTCAATATGGTTTACGGCTGCTCGATTTTTAGGCTTATAAAATTTAAGAGAGAGGGAGTTTAACTATGCTGGCTTTTTTATAGCATAAGGGTGACAAACGTGCACACAGTCCACCTGATGGTAAGCGGGTACTGTGGTCCAAAGACGTCTGCATTAATACTCCTGCGTACTCTTACTGCGTTGTCACCCTTGAGGACTAAGATGGAATGCCTCGTTTCCAGTAAAAAGGGTCTCCGTTTCTCTACACTCACCATACGAAATACAGCAGCATTAAGCTGCTATTTTACGCTGGTATTCTGTGTGTGGTCCTTCCCCAGTCGACCCGACTCATTCGTGCTACAGCCATAACATAGCTGCAATGTGGCTCTACCATGTAAAAACCGTCCGCCTCGAACCATCTTATTACGAGACGTAGTTTATTAAGAGTCTCAGGTTTAAACGATGGTTTAAAAAAATTTCTTCTAACTAAAGACAACTTCTAACATATGATAGCAACTTAGCCTCTATCGCACAGCCTTGGTGAAATTTGACATTGCTATCAAATTCCATACTTTACATTTTAGTTCGAAAATTTCCACGGGTCTTTTTTGCGAAACATGTTTTAGCTTAAATATGAGACTAAGACTTCTTTTTTTATTGAATAGGTGTAGGTGGACTATATCCACCTGATGGTGAGCAGATTTTATGGCCTATAGACATTTATCCTTGTTTCAAAATGCTTGAAACTAATCAATATGCAGATGCGGTGTCACCCCTGATGACTAATATGGAATGCCTCGTTTCTAGTAAAAAGGGTACTCTACACTTACCATACGAAACACAGCAGCACAAAGCTGCTATTTTACGCTGGTATTCTGTGAGCGCGTAGTACCCTGGACGAGCCGACCCATTTCTGCAGCAACTAAAATGGCTGCAGCGTGGCTCTACCACGTAAAAGAAATTTGTTATAAGCCCAATAATATTCTATTTACAAAGTATATTATTCGTGTATTTCTAGTGTTCATTTATTTATTCAAATTAGTAGACTTTAACAGATTTTAAAATAAAAACCTTCGTTCAGTTAAGATAATATTAAAAATGGTATTTTATTCGTGTCTCTAAATTAAAGAATAAATTAAGTGTCATTAGCACACACGCCTGCACACATACATGGTAAACATTTTTTTCTTGTTACATTTGTGCACTTGTAATTTTTGAATAATTCCATAATTTACGCGTGTGTAGTAATTAATAATAAATAATGTTAATATGTTTCTCAATAGTAATAAAATATTAACTTTGAGGAACTGTTTACCTCACATAATAAGTTTAGGGTTTCTTAAAAATACTATAAATATAAACTCACTCATACATTTAAAAAACTTATTTATATGTTTTAAGAAGAAATGAAAATTTAAAAATTGCATCAGATGAACGAGCATCGCTTTCGAAGTTTATGAAGTACATACCATTTCTACAAAGTAAACTGATGTCCTATAACTGGATTATAAATACATTATTGTGAGGAACCAGAGCGCGATTATTTCATGTAGATTAATGATTACAGAAAAAGATATTTTAAATTCAATAAAAATTATAATAAATACTTACTGTGAGCCATTTTTAAGCATAGTTTATCAGTGTTTTGGCTACTTTTATTTTCATTAAAAGCTATCTTTGAAAAAGCTATCTAGAAGAGTGCTTTCTCCAAGCGCTCGTCTTAAATTTTATAGTACAAAACAATACGAGTTTGTCGATTTTAGGCAATTATTTTAAAAAACTAATTTTCACAAATTTTGTTCGAACTTCGGGAATTTAAAAAGTTAACCATTAAATGCGATAAAATCCATAAAAAATATTTTATATTGCAATCATTTTACAAAAAAAAGAAAAATACTATTTTACAGGCCTAGAATTTATGCTGAGCAGAAAAGGGAAGCCTCTCGTCAAAATGAATGGCTATAAATACGTCCAACATGTGACCAAGATGATCACCGAGGACATCTCGAAAGTAAGGTGGAGGTGTTCCACTCATTGCACAAGGGGCTGCAAAGCGGTGTTGTTCACAATCAACAATGTCTTATCCACTGCAAAACCTGTGCACACTCATGATCCCGATTCCTAACTTCCCGTCAATTCATGAAGATTGTTTTATTAAACTTAAAAGTGAAATAAAATTTTAAGGAAAAGTAAAAAGTTGACTTCAAAAGTTGAAAAGTAAAATTATTTCGTACTCTTAAGTCGGTCTTCACATCTTCAATATATTTAACCCCGACTATAGAATGTAAATTTATATTATTTTTATTTTTTTTTTAGTTCTTCTAAGTCGACTTTTTCTTTATATTAAAAGTAAATGTTTATTTATTTCTGTTTTTGCTTGACCATTCACATCACGAGTGTTAAAAAGCACTCGTAATGTCAGGATTTCAGTTGATGTGTAATTTTTTTATTAATTAAACTAACAAAGTGCCGTCCATCTATTGACATGAACATGAGCTGCCTATAGATGTCCTCACAAAGTTTTGCTTTGTTCAGGGAGAAAACAGAGGAATACATTTTATGAAATCAACCCTGACTCTAAAAAATGGTTACTGATTACGTTGATTAAAAATGCAAAACATATGAAACTCAAAAATAATTTCATTAAATGATGAGATTTCTAATGTGTTTTTATTTGCTTACCTCACTTGTGCTTTATGTTGGCAATTCGACAACATTGATAAATGATTTATTAAAAAAAATAGCAGATGTTAAAAAGTAGGAGGTTCTAAAATCTCCATTCGTTTGCATGTTCTTTTTTTATATGTATCTTACGCGATATCTTTGTCAATTGTGAACTGATTTTAATGATTCTATTTTACAAAATAGGATATTCTTCAAGGATGGCCTCAAGTAAATTTGGACTCGATAAAATATCACCCCTATTGGTGGAGAAAAAAGGATTTACTTAACTGTTCAAACTATATTGTAGTTGTTGCCTTCAGTTTGCAATGATCTATGATGATCTTAGTCTACTTTAAGTTCAAAACATTTAACTTTTAAGAAAAGTAATACCCGTTTTCAAAGAAATAAACAAATTTCATAGCAGCTTCTGAAATTCTTTTTAGTGTCCACTATATCATAGCCACTATGTCGTATCCACTATGTGAAGTCGGTGCTAACACATAGTGGAAACACCACTAAGTCTTAGCACCGACTTCTGAAGCTGTTAGATGGAAATTATTTGGCCCAGAATTTTTGCTAAGAAAAGGAGAGGAGTCAAAATGAATGGCTACAGTTATGTCCAGCATTTTGCCCAGAATATCGCTAAAGAGGAGGTCTTGAAAGTGAGGTGGATGTGTTCCACTTAATGCTCCAAGGGCTGCAAGGCGGCGCTGTTCACGACCAACTACGTCTTTTTCAAAACCAGTGCACACTCATGATCCCGATTTCTAACTTCCCATTAATCCATAAAGATTTGTAAAGCAACGAACGATCGTTGTTGTTACATTTGTATTTATAATGTGATATAATATATTATATTATAATATAATAACCGAGGAAGGACCACGCTCTCACAGAATAGCAGCGTAAAATAGCAACTCAACGCTGCTATGTTTCGTATGGTGAGTGTAGAGATCCGGAGACCCTTTTTATTGGAATTGAGGCATTCCATCTTAGTCCTCAGGAGTGACAACGAATCTATGTTTTGATTATTAATCGAGAATAAATATAAATGTCTATGGGCCACAGCATCCACTTACCATCGAGTGGACTTTGTGCTCGTTTGTCACTCATATTCTACTAAAAAAACACAGTCCATCTGATGGTAAGTGGATGCTGTGGTCCATATCCATAGAAATCTACATTTATTCTCAATTAAAAATGAAAATGCGTTGTCACCCCTGAGGACTAAAATGAATTCTTCGCTTCGTTTTCAGTAAAAAAGGGTCTCTGCTTCACTACACTCGCCATACGCTGGTATTCTATGAGAGCGAGGTCCTATCCCGGTCAAGCCGACCAATTCATACTACAACTATATTAGCTATACCATATATTTTAACAAAGAAAGCGTATACTTAATTTTTTTGCTTATGTTGAAGAAATACTGACTGATTTCATTTATAAGTTGTAATATTGAAGAACTTAACTAAAAATAACCTTAATTATATTTAGGTTTCTAATACTTATTTGCTTCCTCTACTTGTGGTTTGTATTACAAAATTCGACGTGCCACTGAATTATTGTTTTTACGTTTTCGTATACATATTCATAGCCATAGAATACTATAATACATACATAATAGAACGAGGGAGTGGGCGGAGCCCGCGTAGCCACTAAAATGTCACTAACACGTCAATTCACACGTATAAA